AAATTTGCTACATATCCCAACACTGTTTTTTTGTAGCAATTTTTTCTTGATCCAAGATCAGGCATTGCACTTAGATATTATCTCCTAAAAAGTAAAATGAGCAAACTGTTGACACAACAATCCCTACACCTACAGAAAGAAGAGCACTGGTACATAAAGAGACTTTACATACAAATCTACATTTAGATACAGATAGAAAAACAGGGGGTGCCTGGGTGGCTCAGTCAGTTAAGCATCTGCCTTCAGCTCAGGTCATGATCCCAGGGTCCTAGGATGGAGCCCCACATCAGGCTCCCTATTCAGCAAGGAGCCTGCTTCTCTTTCTGTTCCACCCCATGCTTATGCTGTCTTTCTCTTTCTGTCACATAAATCAATAAAATGTTTTTTTAAAAAAAAGAAAAGAAAAGAAAAATAGATGTTTACTACATCATTATTTGCAATAGCAAAAATTTGAAACAACATAAAGGAATGAAAAGGGACTTGTTGAAAAATATTATTGTATATGCAGACTCTGTTATATTATGTGTCTATTAAAAATAGAGAATTAAAAAGGGTTTCTGGGTGGCTCAGTCGGTTGAGCATCAAACTCTTGTTTCAGCTTAGGTCATGATCTCAGGGCCATGAGATCAAGCCCTGAGCTGGGCTCCATGCTCAGTGGGGAGTTTGGGATTCTCTCTCCTTCTCCCTCTCCCCCTCCCCTGCTCACACTCATGCTCTCTCTTTCAAATAAACTTCAAAAATAGAGAATTATATCTACACCCATTGACCTAGAAGGATGTTCATATTCAGCCTGCTAGGGAGTAGAAGGATGGAGGTCTAGCTGTAGATCTCTGACATCAGCTGTAGCAACAATTTTTTAGATATGTCTTGTGAGGCAAGGAAAACAAAAGCAAAAATAAACTATTGGGACTACAACAGAATAAAAAGCTTCTGCAGAGCAAAGAAAACAAAACTAAAAGACAACCTACTGAATGAGAGAAGATATTTGCAAATGACATATCGAATAAAGGGTTAGTATCAAAAATATATATAAAGAACTGATACAACTCAAAACGAAAAAACCAAATAATCCAATTTAAAAATAGGCAGAAGACATGAGCAGACATTTCTCCAAAGAAGACATCCAGATGGTCAACAGACACCTGAAAAGATGCTCCATCATTCATCATCAGGAACAAATCAAAACCACAAAGAGAGGGATGCCTGGGTGGCTCAGCGGTTGAGTGTCTGCCTTCAGCTCAAGGCGTGATCCCTGAGTCCTGGGATCGAGTCCCGCATCACGCTCCCCACAGGGAGCCTGCTTCTCCCTCTGCCTGTGTCTTTGCCTCTTTCTCAGGGTCTCTCATGAATAAATAAAATCTTTAAAAAAAAAAACACACACAATGAGATATCACCTCACACCTGTCAGAACGGCTAAAATCAAAAACACAAGTAACAACAAGTGTTGGCAAGAATGTGGAGAAAAAAGAACTCCCTTACTCTGTTGGTGGGAATGCAAACTCACATAGCCACTGTGGAAAACAATGGAAGTTCTTCAAAAAATTAAAAATAGAACTACCCTACAATCCAGTAATCGTACCGCTGGGTATTTACCCAAAGAATATAAAAATGCCAATTTGAAAGGATATGTGCACCCCTATATTTATAGCAGCTTTTTTAAAAAAGATTTTATTTATTTATTCATGACAGACATAAAGAGAGAGAGGCAGAGGGAGAAGCAGGCTCCATGCAGGAAGCCTGACGTGGGACTCAATCCCGGGTCTCCAAAATCAGGCCCTGGGCTGAAGGCAGCACTAAACCGCTGAGCCACCTGGGCTGCCCTATAGCAGCATTACTGACAACAGCCAAATTACAGAAACAGCCCAAGTGTCCATCAACAGATGAATGGATAAAGAACATGTGGTATAAATATACAACAGAATACTATTTAGCCATTAAAAAAAGAACAAAATCTTGCCATCTACAACAACATAGATGGATCTAGAGAGTATAATGCTAAGCGAAATAAGTCAATCAAAGACATACTATATGATTTCATTCATATGTGAGATTTAAGGAACAAAACAAATGAACAAAGGAAAAAAAGAGACAAACCAAAAAACAGACTCAACTATAGAGAACAAACTGATGGTTACCAGAGGAGAGGTGGGTGGGGGGATGGGGGAAACAGGTGAAGGGGATTAAAGAGTACACCTACCATGATGATCACTACGTAATATATGGAACTGCTGAATCACTATATTATGCACTTGAGACTAATATAGCACTATATGTCTACCATACTAGAATTAAAAAATTTTTAAATAATTAAATATAATTGCACATGTGATTCGGATTATATTCCCATTAGATAATGCTGGTCTAGAATGTCAGCCCTGGTTTTATTTTATTTTTTTAAAAGATTTTATTTATTCATGAGAGACACAGAGAGGAGAGAGGCAGAGACACAGGCAGAGGGAGAGGCAGGCTCCATGCAGGGAGCCCGATGCGGGACTCGATCCCCGGACTCCCAGATCATGCCCTGAGCCAAAGGCTGACGCTCAACCACTGAGCCACCCAGGGATCCCCTCAGCCCTGGTTTTATTTTTTTTTTATTTTTATTTTGTATTATTTTTATGATAGTCACACAGGGAGAGAGAGAGAGAGGGAGGCAGAGACATAGGCAGAGGGAGAAGCAGGCTCCATGCACCGGGAGCCCGACGTGGGATTCGATCCCGGGTCTCCAGGATCGCACCCTGGGCCAAAGGCAGGCGCCAAACCGCTGCGCCACCCAGGGATCCCTCAGCCCTGGTTTTAAATCCCAGTTAGACAGTGCCACTTACTTTCTGTGTGAAGAAGTGACTTTCTTCATTAAGCACTGACTTGCTCATCAATAAACTGGGAATAATAAATATACCTAATTTATCAGGCTGATATGAGAAGTAAATTAGATAATGCATGCAAAGCACTTAGGTTAAGACCTAGACATGGTAGGTGTTCAAAAATGGGAGCTGCCCTTAATATTACCACCCAGCATTAGGTGAATAATCAGGAGGTGGGGGTTTTAGACCTGGCTCTGCTGATACCTGGCTATATGATCCAGGCAAAAAAATAATAATTAATCTGTTAGATCTTTCATTCTTTATTGGAAAATGAGGAACTAATAATCTGCTTCATTGGTTATTTTGAAGACTGAATTCTTTCAGTCCACATGTATTCAGAGTAGCTACTATGAGCTAGGCACCATTCTGGGCACTGGGGAAAGAGTAATGAACAAGCCAGATAAAGTTTCCGTCCTTAAAGAGTTTCTATTCCAGTGGAGGAGATATATCACAAAAAAAAAAATATTGTATCACATAATGTTGGGTAGTAGTAATAAGAAATATGAAGAAACCATGGCAGGGTAAGAGCAAAGAGAGTGATGGAGAGACACCACTTTAGGCCCAAGGACAGAGACAGAGACATGAAGAAGAGCCAGTAGGAAGGAAGAGAAACACAGGGACCTGTGGCAGGGGGACACTGTGTGAGTCTGGGTTAGAAAGAAGGAGCCAAGGTATAACTGGGGAGCATAGAGATGGGGCAGAAGAGGAGGCTTGGCCAGACCACAGCGGGCACTGGAGGTCGAGGAGGGAGGGAGGAATACAGCATCTCATTCTCAGCCAAGGCAGCTGCTAGAGAGCTTTAAGCAGGTTTTTTCTTTTTTTTAAGATTATTTATTTATTTATTTATTCATTCATTCATTCATTCATTCATTCATTCATTCATTCATTCATGAGAGACACAGAGAGAAGCAGAGACACAGGCAGAGGGAGAAGCAGGCTCCACGCAGGGAACCCCGATGCAGGACTCGATCTTGGAACTCCGGGATCATGCTGAGCCAAAGGCAGACACTCAACCACTGGGCCAACCCGGCATCCCTTTAAGCAGGTTTTTAAATGATCCCTTGGCTACGTTGAAGATGATGCACATGCCAGGCTCAGCAGGGCACAAAATAAACATGGGAGCCGGCAATGGCAGAATGCTGAGATGTGGCCCAGTCCCCTGCACCCTGGGGGGGGGGGGGGCAGAAACCTGTTCCAGCAAAAGGAAAAGGGAGGAAGTGGGCATGGCAGGAAACAGGTCTATGGTGGTGCTGCCGAGAATCACAGCCCTGGGAATCATAGCCCTGGGGCGGTACTTGCAGTCAGGCTCCAGGTCACCCCAGGGGCAATATACTCCTCTACCCTCAAAGGACAAAAGGAAGAAACCAAGTCATGGCCAAAGAAGAGCCAACTCTGCTCCTCTGCTACAAGGAAAAGCCCTCCATCAGACCAGCAGAAACATGCTGAAGGAAAAACCATCTAAAAATATTTATTATTGGGATCCCTGGGTGGCGCAGTGGTTTGGCGCCTGCCTTTGGCCCAGGGCGCGATCCTGGAGACCCGGGATCGAGTCCCACGTCGGGCTCCCGGTGCATGGAGCCTGCTTCTCCCTCTGCCTGTGTCTCTGCCTCTCTCTCTCTCACTGTGTGCCTATCATAAATAAATAAAAATTAAAAATATATATATAAAAAAAATAAAAATTTATTATTTCAAAATACTCTTTTCTATCATCATAGTAAAGTCATTGTAAAAAATGTAGAAAGTAAACAAAAAGAAGAAAAATTAAATTTCAATTAACTAGAATCCTGCATACGTTTGGCTATAGCTATGAATATGTAAACATAAAATTTAGACCTCTTCTTATGCAAATATGCGTGTATTGTACATGCTTTTTAAACTGGCACTCTTCTCTGTTAATGGTGCTATAACTTTGCCCCTTTCATTTACTATTCGTATATACTGCACATGACTTCTAAGGTGATTAATTCTAGATTGATGGCAACCTTTTTAATGCTGCTTAGGATTTCATAAAGAATATCATATCCCACGGTCCCTATGGTTGGGCATATGGGTTGTTTCCACCTCCAATTGGAACTTTCTGCTGCCCCCTGTCACACCCCACTTTGGTGCCCAGACACCCACATCAGTTACGTTACTTACAGCAAACTCCTCGGGACTCACTTTCAAGACATCGAAGACAACGGCATCATAGCTCTTGCTGGCATAGTCGCAGCTCTGGCCCTCCAGAGAGTCTGAGCTGCTGCTGCCCTGTGGAAGACAGGGAGAGAGCAGTTGGGCTGACTCCAGAATCGCTGACTGCCATGCCCAGACCGAGGATGCAAGAGTGACACAACTGTACAGTGAGCAAAGCTCCTACTGCTCGCTGCTTCACCCCATTCCAGGCACCGTGGTAGGCACTTCATATGTATAGTCTTGCTTAATTCTCTTAAGAACTGAGTACACACTATTTTTATTTCCTCTTTACAGGTAAGGAAGCAGAGGCAATGCCACTCCCCCATGGAATCACAGGAAACTGAAGAGCCAGGAAGTGAAACTAGTTTTGTGTCTACTTGACGCCAGATGCATACCCTCGATCACTACCCCCAATTGCTTCTGGGCCGCTGTGTAGCTGGTGGGATAAAAAGATATAGCCCACTCCTCCTTCAGAGAGAACAGGCCTTCACATCTTAGACGATCTTCGATCGTCTGTCCTAGTCTATCATTCAAACATTACCTGGTTTCACCTTTTTTTTTTTTTTCTTGAAGTCATTACAGGAAATTCTTACACAAAATGTTAAACTGGCTCTCAAGGCTCACTTCATGTATGGGCCACTTGGAATTCAAAGCCAGTTAGCTGATGAGGTGAGAGGTAACCAACTGGCTTTGGAGATGGGCGTGAAAGTTATATTTAGTAGAGTCCCTTATAAAGGAGAATACCATGAACCCTGCATGTAGAGAAGGGGGTCTCCCATCAAAGAGGAAGTTAAAACTCCCCAGATGTGGCCAGGTTCATGAAACCCAACACTGTGGGGGATCCCAGAATGTTAAACATACCTTCTCCTTGATTTTATTTAATTTCATCAAATTCTACTTTGGGGAACCAATCAAGCTTACTACCCAAAAATTGTGCCTTGTTCATAAATGGTTTTATTCGTCTCAACCCATGGAGAGGGATTTTGTGGTTTCCATTAACCTCAATATCTTGGACTGGATTTTAGAGAACATGCTTTTATTAATTCTTCTTTATTTCACTCTTTCCAAAATGGCTATATCTGGAAAAACTTTACAATCTTACTGGAAACTAGAGTGTTTTTAGGCCAGTGAGGGAAACCAACAGTCAACAACTGAAAATGTGAGGTTAAAAGGAGGCGTGGAAAGTTAAACGTGTAGATTTCAATAACCTGTGTCATTTAAAAGTTTCACCAACAAGGCTGTTATGCCCAGAACTCTAAAATGATCTTAAGAAGTAGCACATCATGCTGGTTAAGAGCTCTGAAGTCATGCCTGGTGGAAATGCCAGCTCCACACCACCTGCTGCCTGACCTCACACAAGCTATTTCACCTTACCATCTCAGCTCTGTGAAACAGCACGCTGGCACCTACTCCCCAGGATTGTGGCACAGATTATATAAAATGAAGCTAACTAAGCAGCTTGTGGAATCCCCCTCCCCCAGGAGATGCCGATTCAAGGGGCCTGGGCAGACTCGGCCACGGCTTTTTTAGAAGTTCCCTAATAATGGCACTTGCTAAACTTTTGAGAAGTAACAAAGACAAATCCTGAATGCCTCTGACATTGGCAGTCTGTTCTGCCCCTTCGGTCTTATGCACAGACCCCAAGCAGATGACTCCCTGTAAGTCACTCTGCACTTCCACAATCACGTTCCAGAAAGCAGGCTACATCAGGTTGACAGGGTTGTCTTCCTCAGCGTAGTGTCATCAGGGTTAAGAGCACTGGCTTCAGAGTCACAGGGGTCTGGCTCTAAATCCCCAGCCACCGTTGACCAGCTGTGTGATTTGAGCCAGTTTATTCGCCTCTTCCTGCCTCATTCCCCTATCTATAAACTAGGGGTGAAGCAACAGTACAGACCTGATCAGGCTACTGTGAGGATTCGTGGGATAACACCTGTGGAACACATAAGACAAGGCCCTGGCATATAAGATGCACTGAATTATGGGGGTGGATATGTGTGTGGTGCCATTCAATCTCCAAAATTTACTGAGTACTTCAATTAAACATGTGCTCTTTCATTCAACAACTATTTGAGTACTTACCGTGCTCCAGATACACATACATATTCACACATACTCAGTATATACATATATGTGTGTGTTTATATATATGTACATACACACAGAGAAATCAGAAAAGACAGAAGTTTTACTCTAGGTGGAGTGTAAATTGTAAATGAGAAGAGAAGCCTGATTCCTCCAGTTACCAAACAGCCCATTCCTGGGATTTCAGGTTTTATATCTTTCCTGTAACACCCCACTGCATCTGCCCCAGACACACACACTCATACAAGAGGCTTTACTTAATACAGGGTTGCCCCAAAAACATTAGTGGTGGTGGTGATGACGATTCAGTGATTTCATTTAAACCTATACTGGCACCATCAGGGGCTTTTAAAAGGTACTCACAAGTCTGTTTTCAGAAGCAGAGATCAAAAGAAGGAATTTGTTAATGGTTTATAAGATATGAATAGGTTCCTGTGAATTTCTAGCCAATCACACAGGATCATTTGAAAAGCCCAGCTCAACTGTGAGGGACCTGTAAGCTCAGAAGACTGAGCACTCCCTTGACAGTTTGTCATGGGAGCCAGGCATTACACATTTGGCAAGGTGGTGCTCCTGGGCCTGATGACACCCACTCCTTTCACGTGACTCTGTTCCATCACTTCACTTGGAAAACACACCCCCACACGCCCACGCCCGCAGGGCAGGGGCCCTACTCTCCAAGACTACTCTCGGACCACCAGTCCTTACAGCCATCTCCTACAAAGCAAGGTAAATAAGAACACAGAGCCAGCTGGAATCACTTCTGCCTGACTTCATTCTGGAATGTGTGACATATTTACAATCAGCAGCAGCAGCTTTTCTTGGGAAAGGTCTGATCCCATCTTGCCACCAAAATGGAATGTGGCACTTGCTACAACTGGACTGGGCAGGTGTTTGCTTTTCTTTGAAGCGAATGACTGTAGAAAATGTACTGATCCTTGGGGCTGACTGCCTCCCAAATCTCACGCCTGGTGTGGCCAAGGGCCTCAGGAGTGCTAAGAATGGTGGTATTCATGGAGCTTTGCTGCCTTGCTGTTCACAACTTAGCTGGGGCCTGGGTCCGCTAAAAGGAGGCCCCTACCCCCACCCGCTGTCCCGATTCTCATAGCCCCTATACCTGCGGAGTGGCGGAGGTGACCAACACACTAGCCATCAGACCATTCCTCTTGTACATAGTCTCCAGGCCGCAGGGAGCTTCAGGGCAGCCTCCGTCGGTGACATAACCTGTCTGGAGAAGTCCTGAAAGGCAAAGGGGCTCATGAAAACCAGCTTCAAAACCAACTTAATCCCAGCCTGGTGGGAGGTGAGGAGTGGGGAGGGGGGTGGATGTTGTGCTAGGATTTGAGCAGAAGACCCCAAAGGAGACCTTTAAAAGAAGGTTATAAGCCAGTGGCCTTCAGGCTAAATATGGCCCACAGATGTAGTTTCTTTGGCTTGTGCAGATTTTCATATTTTTAAAATTTATCAACAACATTTAAGAATTAGAAGGTTTGGGGGCACCTGGGTGGCTCAGAGGTTGAGCGTCTGCCTTTGGCTCAGGGCGTGATCCTGGGGTTCTAGGATCGAGTCCCACATCAGGCTTCCTGCATGGAGCCTGCTTCTCCCTCTGCCTGTGTCTCTGCCTCCCTCTCTCTCTCTCTCTCTCTCATGAATAAATAAAATCTTTAAAAAAAAATTAGAAGGTTTTGGGGATGCCTGGGTGGCTCACTGGTTGAGCATCTGCCTTCGGCTCAGGTCGTGATCCTGGGCTCCTGGGGTCAAGTCCCCCATAAGGCTCCCTGCTGGGAGCCTGCTTCTCCCTCTGCCTATGTCTCTGCCTCTTTCTGCATCTCTCTCATGAATAAATAAATGAAATCTTAAAAAAAAAAAAGAGAGAGAGAGAGAGAGAGAGAGAATTAGAAGGTTTCACATGGAATTCTGGATTTCTGACTTTTCTTGAAAATGGAAATACCTGACAGCACAAGGCCCACATTCCTGCATGATGACCAGCAGCTGGGCGGAACAGCAACTGCCCCTTTTACTGGAGCAAGAGGCTTTTGGACCCTACCTAGCCTGTGCAATTGTTTGGGTACGTGCCTGGCCCTCTCAGGTACTAAAGTTTGTGACCTTTGTTTTAAACGAAAGCAGGTAAAGATGACAAACTGATTCTACCATGTTTCCCTGTACAATTGATCACTTCATCAGTAATAAGGTGATGATAATAACTAATATTTGCAGAGTGCTCACCATGTGCCATGCACTTTATGTATATTGACTCAACTAACCCTCATAACAGCCTTGGGCAGGTCCTATCACACCCATGTTACATGTGAGGAATTTGAGGTACAGAGAGGTCAAGTAACTCGTGCTTTGGCGTCTTCACTCATGCTGTCCCCTGATCCCACCATCATTCAAGGACCTCCTCAAACATCAAATGATCAGCCATTCTACTCCTAGGTAGCTACCTTAAAATAAATAAAAGACACATATGTGAAATATTCATCAGAGCCAAAAGCTGGAAACAATCTAAACTCATGAATGGATCAACAATGATATATCCATACAGTGGAATACCACTCAGCAATAAAGAAATGAAATACTGATACAAACTGTAACATGAATAAGCCTCAAAAAACTATGCTAAGTGAAAGAGGCCAGACCAAAAAGACTGTACTGTAAGATCCCATTTTTATGAAATGTCCAAAAAAGGCAAATTCAGAGATAGGAGCCCATCAGCGATTGGCTGGGGGTGGAGGCAGGACTGTGTGCAAAGAGGCACAAGGTGCAGACAAGACTGTGTGCAAAGAGGCACAAGGGATTTTTCTGAAGTGATGGAAATGTTCTAAAACTGGATCATCATGATAGTCACCCAGCTCTGTAAATTCACTAAACATCACAGAATCGTACATTGGGAATGGGTGAATTTTACGTTATGTGAACTACACTACAACAAAAGCAGCAATCACAAACTCTGTTTCATGATGGCAACCTGAACTCACATGTTTAACTGCCCCCCCCTACATCCCTTTGAAATAATCCAAGAAGTAGCAAAATGGCAAAAACAAACTACATTAGCACATGACAAGAGAGAAAGGTTATTAATAAGCAAAAAACTTAGAGGAATTTCCAGTGCAGAAGAGACAGGACTGAGAGGAGGGGAACCAGCCTCTGAAGCAAAGGGAAGGCCTCCCAGGAGTCAGATAGATGGGACCCTTCAACAGACACCCTGTAAGTAACATGGGGACTTCAAAGTCAGGAATCCAGAAATAGGCTGAAAGTAAGGCCCGCTCAAGAGCTCAAAGCAGCAGCATGAGACTGGCTCAAGCTGCAGGTCTGTCTCAGACCAGACAAACAAGCTCATGTGGACTGGGAGTTGGGGTCAACCCAGACAGGCTCTCTATGCCAGAAGTGACCAGCTTGTTGGATGGACCATGTTCAGATCAGCTCAAGCCGAACTGAAGTGACTCAACCCAAGCCTGACAGAATCACCATGGATTCTGTCCATGGGAGACAGTCAACTGATGTTCCTTGTGGATCCAACTTGCTCCTGTTCCAGGCTGAGGTGGGCTTCACTCCTTTCAGGATATGCTTGGCACTCTGCAGGTCTTCACCAAGGGGAGTCCAACATGGAGCCCAATCTGCTCTGCCTGGCCCCAACCAGAGGCCTTAGTGCTCCCTGCCTGCCTGACACCATAAATTCTCAAGTCACACAGGTGTCATGTTTTATCCTCATACTCTCGTCCATGGCGGGTCATTTGCTCAGTCCGTGCATCCTGTCTGGTGGCTGATGCCACCAGCTCTGACCATTTCTCCAGCGTCGTTGAAGGGGTGCACTTTCGTGCCCTGTCGACACACCAGCACATCCAGGGAATGGCAACTGCATGAATCTGAGCCAGGCACTACATTTCTAGCTCATTTCAACTTCACAACAACCCCATGAAAGAGAGATTCTTCTACTCCTGGAAATCACAGCACCAAGGGCTGATGTTACTGCTCATTGAGTGGTGGGACTGGGGAGTTCAAACCCTGGTCCATCGACACCAGCGCCTGGGCCTCCTTCAAAGCCCACGGGGACCCAGCGAGAAAACGCATATAAAACACTTCAACCCGGCCAGCCACAGACCAAGCACTCAAAGTTATTAGTTACTGTATTAATCTAATCCTACAGTTCTAGTCATTTATACCTATTCTTTTTTCCTAAAATAAAGAAACAAAAAATTGAAGAAATCACGGCACTGTGCTATGAAACCACAGGCTTCCACTGCAGGAAAGGGGTTCCCAGCTGTGGTCCCCAGGTGTCTGGGGAACACAGGCTGAGTCCAGGTGTCTGAGTGCAGAGCTCCTCCATCAAGAGGCCTGATCTGTCCACCCCACATCCCTCCGGCCCACCTAGAGACAAAGCACATCAGCAGCAGTGTGTTACCCCTATGCTTCCTATAAGCAGCCTGGGCTGGAAAGAAAGACAGAACACTTGTTTGAGATCCAACTCCTACGTGTCTCCCCATGGACAAAAATAGCCTAAGTTATGAGCAGCAACTCTCCAATAAGTGATATTTCACATGCTACGAAATGACAGAACTAAGCAGAACAGAATATCCTTTCCAGGGCCCAGAGAAACCCCCACCCATCCACCTTCTGTCCCTGAGGCCTGGCCAGGCCCCAATTCCTCATTAGAAACTAGACTCCCACCAACAGAGTCAGCCTGGCCCAGGCAACCTGCTGAGAACTGCTTCCACACCCCACGGGAAGGCCCCTGATGATGACAACTGAGCCTGATGACTGGACCAGAGTGGCCACCTGATTCTCCTAGGAACTCCGGACCCTGAGACACTGGTCTCTGCTGGTCAACCAACAGAGGCACTGTGCCCTTGCTTCTAGAGGGTGGCCAGATCCTGCCTGGTACAGGGATAGTCGGCCAGAGTGTAAAAGGGGCAGATGCATGGAGAAGCTAAAGGCGAAGCCTGTGTCTGAAAGAAAAGGAGGGCAGTGACCTGGCTCCCACCCCCAACTCTGTGGTAGATGCCTCTTTTTCAGTGGCCGGTAGTTAGAGTGGCTTTCCAAAAGACCTGGGCCAGGGCTACTTCCTAAACACCAAGTTCATGCCACGCCACCAGGAACCTGACCCTGAAAACACAAAGGGCTCATCTGAATGGGGAAAGATATGCACCATTCACTTACTCATGGAGCTCCTACTTCATGTGGGCATCGTTCTAGCGAGGAGTTCCTAACCATTTTTGTGGCTTGGACCCTTTTGGCAGCCTAGTGAAACCTCTGGGTCCCTCCTCACAGAAAAGTTTCCACATGCATAAAATAAAATTACACAGGATTACCCAGGAAACCAATTATATTAAAATACAGTTAATAACTGTATAAAATACTTTATAACATAATAATGTATATTTCTTCATGTAGGGGAATACATGTACATATATTTCTTTATTATTGCATTAAATAACAAAATCTGTTGGCGGGTTTAATAACTACCATAATTTGAAAGTAGTTATGAGCATAGATATTCTAAGAGGCTAATGATTGTTATGTCATATGAAAACACCTGATTTTTTTTTAAGATTTTATTTATTTATTCATGAGAGACACAGAGAGAGAGAGAGAGGCAGAGACACAGACAGAGGAAGAAGCAGGCTCCATGCAGGGAGCCCGATGTGGGACTCAATCCCAGGACTCCAGGATCACTCCCTGGGCCAAAAGCAGGCAGACACTAAACCGCTGAGTCACCCAGGGATCCCCAACATCTGTGATTTTTATTGGTGACAAAGTCCCAAGTACTATTATTATTACTGTGATTCGGTGACTATATTAGTAACTGAGAGAAATGCTAAATTTCAGTTAGAAGTTGGTGAAAATAAATATGTCATCTTTTTCCCACTAAAATTCAGTGATGCCTGGTCCAGAACCCCTGTTTCAGGCATTGGAGACATCAAGCGAGCAGGCCCTGCTCCCACAGAACTTACATTCCAGTGCATAAGTCAGAAAATACACACATGGATACAAAAAAGTAACTTCAGATGGTGAGAAATATCTCAAAAAACTAAAATAGGATGGAGGATGGTATTTGCCAAGTGGTCAAGGAAGGATGCTCTGAGGATGTGAAATTTGGACTGAAACCTTAGGAAGGAGTAAGCCCCCCCCCCCAAAAAAAAAGGAGTGAGCCCATAAAAAACACTGTGTGTTCTTTGCAGAGAACACAGCAAGTGCAAAGACCCTGAGACACACATGAATTTAGCATGCTTGTGATGGAG